GAAAAACTATCACTAATTGAGTTAGACTTTTATGTTTAATTAATTTATTTTGATTAATTGAAATCGATTTTAAATAAATGAAATCATTTTTATAGAAACAACAATGATACAATTAAAATAAATTAATAAATTAAAATATTAAAATTAACAACAACAAGACTACCAAACAACGAAAAAAACAAAAACAGCAGCAACAACAACAGTACTACCAAACGACAACAACAACAACTACAGCAGCAACAACAACAACAGCAGCAGTAGCAACAACAACAACAGCAGCAGCAACAACAACAACAACAATACTACCAAACGACAACAACAACAATTACAGCAACAACAACAGCATCAACAACAACAGCAACAACAACAACAACACTACCAAACAACAAAAACAACAAATTAATCAAGTGGAAAAACTAAAATTTTTAAATTTGCAAAAGCAAATCACCAGAAGCTGGAAATATAATGAAGAAGCGAGGATTTAAAAAGGATGCAAATTAACAGTAGGTGGAAAAACAGTTGGAGAAATAAAAATTACAGAACACGGCAACATAAAGCTTTAAAAACTGCAACATTTTAAGAGTAAAATACATACACGTTAAAGTATGTACATACAAATTCACACACACACGCACAAATTCAAACACCTACAAAAACACACATACATATACACACGCTGGCACACATACAAACATTTAATACTAATACATACAAACGCGCATAGATATACGTCCAATGCACACACAGATGCACAGACACAAACAAACACACGCACACGTGCATAAGAACTGACAGAAACATACAAACAATAACCCACATATCAACATGTTGTTATTCACCAGCACTAAACAACGCAATTCAAACAACACCCGTACAAATTCAACAACAACATGCAACAAAATTTAATAATGAAAACTTCAAAACAGATCTCAAATCAGACAATAAAACAAAAAATGAAAACAAACAAGCAACAACAAATACAAAACATACAAACAAATAGAAAAGGATGCAGGCAAACAACAAATTTAATCAAATACAACGCATACAACAAAAACAAACCTTCAACAAAATCATAACAATACAAAACATACAACAAATACAAACATGCATAAAACAAACACAAAACATACCACCAATACAAAACATACAAGAAATACAAGCGAA